CGTACGAGAATTATAAAGGCTCAAGCGATCCTTGCCTTTCTTGCTAGCTTTCAGGAGCTGCATCTCAAAATATGGTAAGCCTGAGTAATTATTGTATTTATATCTAATTTCATGAAGTCCAGTGGCACAGTTTATGAAGCTAGTTTATGCACGTTTGTATTAAGATTTGACTGAGACACTGATCTGACCTAGTATGAGGTTTGATATAAGCTTAAGCTTACAGAACTTTAAAAAGCCTTTAGTCGATATTAATTCACCGTAAATAGAACGAAAAAAATTTCCGAAGAATATTTAGTTATAATTTTGGCTGTACTTGGCTGTAGAAAGAAAGCTTTGAGCGATTTTCTTGTCGTGAGTTCATCTTTGAAAAAAGCAAACACCGGGAAACCGGCGGCTTAAAACATAAACTTAATCTTTACGCTTACTAGTAAAGACTTGAGGATTCTTAGAGACACCTAAATACTCATTTGTTTTCGTGAATGAAAATTGTTGTCTCTGTAAATGTTCTAATGAATTATATTTCTTTATTGATTGTTGGTAGTCTCAAAAGTGTAATTTTCATCGCTTTGCCGTTTGTTTTCAGGTGTTCATAAACATCGCTTGCAGGAGTACTCAAAATGCCAAGCGTATCAAACGCTTTTTAAGATTACACAAGGTTATAAAACCATTAATAAAAAATAGACTCTATAAATTCTTTATCACGTTCAAGCGTAACTCTTTTAAAATTTCTTCGCAAATTTGGCGCTTGTCAAAAGTTAGAACCGGCTGGCCGTATAGGTGATTTTGGACATTTTTTGAACGTTTTCGCTAATTAAAAGTCCACGCGTGCTTCGATGGTCCTGAGTATTGAATGAATGCAATTTTTCTTGAAAAATTGTGAAATACTGCATTTTGTACGAGGTCAGTAGTACATATGGCCTACAAGGTCGGTAACCAATCAGAGCGCGAGAAAGACAATAGGGGTATTGTTTGAGAGGGTCACGTGTCTCATTAGCATGGGGTACGTCATCACTTTGTTCACGTGACCTCTCTCAACCAATCGGAGGGCAGCTCCCTGGCATGGGGAATAGAACATACGCATTTTATAGGAAGACCCTACGTGCGTGGTGGAAGGACGCATGCGCAGTTCGGCCCCATGCTTTTGCCCTGCGCAGTCACGTGAATGGGATCGTCGGTGCATGCGCAGACCGCCAAAATACTCCCCAGGTCCCCCGCATTCATAGGAGCACATTTCTGCCTAGACCTACTGCGCATGCGGAAACAATGAAAAGAAGCCCCAGACCCCTCGCATCACCGGAAGTCATTGAAAAAAACGCGCTGTATTGAGGACAAAATCACTGCGTTGGTTGAATGAATCTCGAGAGTGACCTAAGTTACATACGGGACGTGTGTGAGATCCGAGTGACATCACGCCCTTGACATGCGTGAAATTACAAATCTAACAAGAGGTCGACTTCTTCCCCAATCCTCTCGTAGCCATAGGGATAACTCGATTTGGTGGCCACATCTACTATGCGCTTGTCAAACACCAACCCATACTGCTTCACGCGCGGAACGACTTGGATTTGTTCGGAAATGATAAGGGGTGACAATGTTCAAGTTTCGGCGAGAGTCCTGAGGGGTGTCTAATTCTGAGAGAATGTTGTCTTTCATGGTGTGGAAATTGAGGATGGCGGAGCCACGGACGTTTAAGGTGAAACCGCGTACTTTACACACCACTTTACCTCCACGGGTCTGGTACCCATAATTCTTGGCGCCCCCGGAAACAAACTCGGTGATAACATCCCCGTCTAATTCATCCGCCATATCCCCAAAAAAATCGCCGATGGCAATGCTGGGTTGGCCAGGACGCCACTTGTACACGACACTGTCGGTAACATAGTAGAGGACTTGCTGTTGAAGGGTATTGAGGGACTCGTAGAGTTTGAGCCGAGCGTGACACGTGGTGAAAGCTGCTACGAAGATGTTGGTTTTGGTCCCTTTGACGGCATTGTCTTGTACACTGGTGTAAACAGCCTCCAAGATGTCGTCGGTACAGAGGCGGAGAGTGCTAATAGCGAGGGCGGCATCGGAGATGAGACTGAACAAATGGGCGGGGTCCTTGACGGTGACGGTGGTGGGTTTGTTGACACGCTCGCCGAATTTGCCCCAAAAGTTGTTCAGCATGAGCTTGGCCGTGGCCTTGCGTCCAGGATTTTTGGCAATGCTGGCAATATCCAGTCGGATCCCCTCCCGCTCCTGGTAGCGAAGAATGTACTCTCGTTTTTGTTCCAAGGTCTGACACCAACTCGGCCACCCAGCCGACTCTTGTTTTAACTTCAACCATGTGTTGACGTAATCAGCAAAAAGACCCGTCCTGCGTTGCTCGGGGGGAAAATGCCAGACTTCGTGGATCTTGGCCAGGGTGTACCCCTTTTCCACGGCTTTGACCAGGTCGGGCGTGCACCAGGTCCCACGTAGCGTGCGATTGGCGTCGGAATGATGGCAATAATGGGTTCTGGTCAACATGGGTTTGGCCTGCTCTTCCTGGACACAGGTGCGGCAGAGAGGAAAGGTGAGTTTTTGGCCACTGCGCACGGGCAAGACGGGGTGGAACAAACCAGCAGGGGGACGAATGTCCACCGTGGCGATACCAAAATACGAACCCAGGGACTGATCGACGGGTTGCGTGATGATTTGCGGATGACCGATGGGGTAAGGGCAGTTCTTGTTTACCCACGGGTAAACGGAGGTCACATCCACATAGCGTATCTCTTCACCCTCCCCAGCCACAGCATGCAGGGCCACCGCGCCTGTTCGACCCCCAAAGAAGGCCTCGCGGGGTTCCAAGGGCGCGACAAGATCGAATGAACGAAGAAACTGAGACACGGCAGGCCCGTTGTCTACCAGGCAGTCCCACTCACACTCCCACATTTCGATGACGGTGTAACCCGCTCGGAGCAGAGCCATGCGTTTGGATAGAGTGGCTTGATACAGTTCCTCCACGCTTCGGTCTGGCACTGCATAATGCTTGACGGATCGGTTGGGATAGCAGCGTGGACAACCATGGTAGAGATAGCCATGAAACTCGTAGACAGTGCGGGTCAGAGGATCGTATCCATCGACGAAATAGCTGTTCATGATGGTCTGGACAGACTGTTCGCCCCCGTTACGGACATGTCGAATGCGGTGGGCACTGGCCCCCTGCTTGGGGATGAGGTGTTCTTGGTAGTAGAGCCATTGCAGGGCCTTGAGGGATTGATTGACCTTCGCGCCTCGCCAGCCCCCCAGAGGTTCGACCGCGATGGTGTCGGGGGTCAAATGGTGCTTGCGCCAATACAGATTACAGGCACTGGCGATAGTGATGCACTTGGCCATGGGATTGAAACCGGCCCGCCGTTCAAATTCTTGTTGAAAGGCTTCACAGCCGGCTTTCAACAGAGCCACATCCGATTTGCAGTACTCGATCATTTCTTGACGGAAATCAAAGGGCACATTACGACGCACTTGATCCGCGTGCCTACGGGTCAGTTCCTCTTTTTTTTGGCCATCATGCCATCGGGATCGTAAAATTCCAAATCGGGGATCCGGCCCACGTACTGTTGATGGCCCGGGGTATTGAACAAATGGGGAAAGAACCCCTTCTTTAATTCCGTCAAATTGAAGGTGCTTGGAAAGGACGCGAGTGGCATGGGCAAGAAACACAACGAGTCGATGAATTTGAGGGGTCCGCTCTTGAAAGACAGGACTTTGGCCCCCACCGTCAGTTGGTCTGCCACCTCGCGTTGTTGCTGGTACAGTTCGTGCAAAATAAACATGCCGTCGAAGCCTTTCAAGTTGTGAAACACCACGAGAATCTCCCGCTCGTCATCCCTGTCCGGTACCTCGGTGAGATCATCCAAATCGTGCAAAAACTGCAGGGCAAAGTCCTCCCCGTCTAACACATGGATGGTCGCTTCTTCGCTGGACGAATAACACAACAAATTAGCCACAAACACACCCTCCGCATTCTGCACGGCTTCCAAATCGGCGTAAACAAACAGGGGAGGGGATGGCGCCACAATGCAACCTCCCCCCTCCTCTGTTGGTTCTGGCTCCTCGTCCTCCACCACGGGTTGAATGTAACACTTGTGGTCCTGGATAGACGCCCATTCCTGACACACGGGACATTTGGCGTGCCCGCACTTGTGACGTCGGTCAGGAACGACCGTATACTGGGCTTGGCACTTGAGACAGGTTTTGACGGATTGACATTGCTTGGTGACCACATGATGGCGTTTGCAATAGCCTTCGTAAAACTTGCAGTGACACAGGTTGCAATAGTCGGTGGGCCGGGTGCCACGCACATAATCCTGACAGTCAAAGCGCCCGCAAGCACGGCAGCGGTTCCCTTGACAAGTATGATTGGTCCTATCGTTGGTTTTGAACCCCCGTTCACAGTTCACGCAATAATACGAACGGTTGACAAAGGCAGGAAAGGACGTACAGCCATCAAAATGATCATTGGATTTCAGTAAACGAATCTGATGGGGGGCAGCAGGTCCTTTGAAAACCAGAAAGAACGGTTTCATCCGGGTCATCACCAAGAGCTGGTATTGAGATCCCAACGCCTGTTGAAATTGGCGAAGCTCTGGCAAGCCACAGGGACCCTCAGCCACCCCCGCTTCACGATGCAGTTCCTGGGCTTGACGTTGCTCCACTGGGTACCCTTTCTTTAAACTATCCCATTGGCGAAGTTCGTCCACGCCTTGATCTTTGTGGCAGTGCGCTCGCATGGTGACAATGGCGCGAGCACAGCATAAGGCATCTCTGTTTTTGATGGTGACGATGCATCGTTTCTTCTTGTTTTCTCGGTCCAGACACAGACGACCAGGATTGTGTTTTTTTTTTACGATAACCGGACCCTGGGCCTGGCATGGATACAAACACCACATCCACTTGGAAACCGCGATTGGGGTTGAAGGCTTCATTGCTATTCAACTTGCCGGCCAAGGTGGCTAACATCTCATCCAAGCGAGCAGTGCGTTGTAAAAACTCCCCCACCGTAAAATTAGCTGTTTGATAAGCGTGGGTGAAACCATGGGCCGTAATGGCAAAATTGACAAAATGATGGGCGGGTCGCTGCTCACGGTCAAGTTCCGTTTCAATGGCTTGGTGTAACGCTTCGGTCAAGGCCATGCCAATGTTATCCCCAGGGACAGGATCCCTCAATTGCCGTAATTGCGCATTGAATTGCGCCCGCTCGGCCAATGGGTTGCATGGTGAATTAAAAGAGAGGGCCTCGGGCGGAGCCGCCTCCCAATTGTTCCCACCGATCAAACGCTCGGTCCAACAGGGCATCCTCGTCATCGTCTTCGTCACTAAAGTGATACAATAGGTCATCCGCCATGACAGAGGAAACAATGTGAATTTTCCCGCGCCAGATGCTGACTTTTATAGACTGAAAACCACGTGATGTCACATGAGCGTCAGGAGATTGGTAGAAGGGACTCAGATGATATCACATGAGCGTCAGGAGAATGGTAGAAGGGACTCAGGTGATGGTCAGGTGAGGGGTTTTTGTAGACCAACAAAACACGTGATGTCACATGATCGTCAGGAGATGGGTAGAAGGGACTCAGGTGAGGGTCCGATGAGGGTCAGGTGAGGGGTTTGATCGACAGGAGGAAGATCAGGGGTGGTCCCCCCCATGGGTACAGATTCCTTAGGTCTCCTTTGGGCCTGGACCGAGATCGGTGATTGGTGGAGTTTACACTAGATAGAGTCCAACATCCAGGACCGTCGTCAGTTGTGTTCGAGATGCCCAACAAAAATCCCGAGAAGGCGAGACAACTGAAGCACGAGTGGTATCTGAGAAACAAGGAGAGAGTGTTGCAACAGAAGCTTGAACGGCGGGCGGCCAAAAAGAAGCTCAAACCACCACGTCCACCCAAACCAGCCCCCACCCCCGAACAGAAAGCCAAAGCCCGAGAGGCGAACCGACTGGCCTGTCACCGCTACCGAGCGACCCATTCGGACCAAGTACGCAGCCTGAATCGAGACTACTATCATCGGAACCGCGAGCGCATTGTACAGCAGCAGCGGGACCGTCGTGCCAGAGTTCATCGGAACAACCCATTCCGAAAGTTACGGACGTTGGCGGACGTGTGTGCCGCCCGATTACTGGAATTGGACCATGGATACGCCAGGATCGAGCCAACCCAAAACAAAGAGGGACCCCGAGAGAAATAAGATCAACCAAAAACTGCATCGGCAACGGAAGTATGCGGTCGTGAACGGGATTGAGGACGTGAAGGCCCTCAACCGTCGACGCTATCAAGAACGCATGGCGCGCATGAAAGCCAACGGGGAGTACAAGGCCTTCAAGGCCAAAAAGGTCCAAGAGGGAATGCGGCGCTCCCATGCCACGTCCGAGGAAAAACGCAATGAGGTGAAACGCAGGAACGCGCAATGTCAAAAGAACTGGATGCAGAGAATGAAAGAAGAGGGGACCTTCGAGGCCTACAAACACCGGTTGAATGTGCGGCGGCGGGCGTTGCAGGCGGAGAAAAAGCGAGTCTTGGGCGAGGAGGGGTGGAAAGCCTTGCAGAAACAAAAGTACGAGAAGCGGGTGGAATCGATTCGACGTCAACGCTGGCAATGGTTGGACGAGCAATTGGACCGTCCTTTTCCCCTCCCGTGGTTACCGTTAGATTGGGCCGAGTCCGAGCCTGAGAAGGACACTGTACAAACCCTTCGGGCGAACGCGTTACAGCAAATGGACCAGTATTTGTAAGAACAATATGAGTTTATTAAAACATGTGTTGTGGCAATTCAACAAGGTTGTCTTTTATGACTTTGTTAATTTTAAGTGTTCACATGCCCAATCTCAGTTTGGTTTTCATAATGCGTCTGACAATGCGCTCCGTCAGGATTTTCAGCCAGGGAGTTGATCAATCTTGGCAATCATCTTGCGATCCGCCACCCATTTATCTTTCAACGTCTTGGCTTTATCATAGTCCATGTCATGTACTTTAGCAATCCTGTCTAACCGGTTGATGCCGGGATCCCCACGGGCCAATCTTTTTTTCAAATGGGTCCCAGGTCCCATGTACTGATAGCCGGGCCAATGAAATTCAATGCCCGTCTTGAATAGCCATGAAACTCGTAGACAGTGCGGGTCAGAGGATCGTATCCATCGACGAAATAGCTGTTCATGATGGTCTGGACAGACTGTTCGCCCCCGTTACGGACATGTCGAATGCGGTGGGCACTGGCCCCCTGCTTGGGGATGAGGTGTTCTTGGTAGTAGAGCCATTGCAGGGCCTTGAGGGATTGATTGACCTTCGCGCCTCGCCAGCCCCCCAGAGGTTCGACCGCGATGGTGTCGGGGGTCAAATGGTGCTTGCGCCAATACAGATTACAGGCACTGGCGATAGTGATGCACTTGGCCATGGGATTGAAACCGGCCCGCCGTTCAAATTCTTGTTGAAAGGCTTCACAGCCGGCTTTCAACAGAGCCACATCCGATTTGCAGTACTCGATCATTTCTTGACGGAAATCAAAGGGCACATTACGACGCACTTGATCCGCGTGCCTACGGGTCAGTTCCTCTTTTTTTTGGCCATCATGCCATCGGGATCGTAAAATTCCAAATCGGGGATCCGGCCCACGTACTGTTGATGGCCCGGGGTATTGAACAAATGGGGAAAGAACCCCTTCTTTAATTCCGTCAAATTGAAGGTGCTTGGAAAGGACGCGAGTGGCATGGGCAAGAAACACAACGAGTCGATGAATTTGAGGGGTCCGCTCTTGAAAGACAGGACTTTGGCCCCCACCGTCAGTTGGTCTGCCACCTCGCGTTGTTGCTGGTACAGTTCGTGCAAAATAAACATGCCGTCGAAGCCTTTCAAGTTGTGAAACACCACGAGAATCTCCCGCTCGTCATCCCTGTCCGGTACCTCGGTGAGATCATCCAAATCGTGCAAAAACTGCAGGGCAAAGTCCTCCCCGTCTAACACATGGATGGTCGCTTCTTCGCTGGACGAATAACACAACAAATTAGCCACAAACACACCCTCCGCATTCTGCACGGCTTCCAAATCGGCGTAAACAAACAGGGGAGGGGATGGCGCCACAATGCAACCTCCCCCCTCCTCTGTTGGTTCTGGCTCCTCGTCCTCCACCACGGGTTGAATGTAACACTTGTGGTCCTGGATAGACGCCCATTCCTGACACACGGGACATTTGGCGTGCCCGCACTTGTGACGTCGGTCAGGAACGACCGTATACTGGGCTTGGCACTTGAGACAGGTTTTGACGGATTGACATTGCTTGGTGACCACATGATGGCGTTTGCAATAGCCTTCGTAAAACTTGCAGTGACACAGGTTGCAATAGTCGGTGGGCCGGGTGCCACGCACATAATCCTGACAGTCAAAGCGCCCGCAAGCACGGCAGCGGTTCCCTTGACAAGTATGATTGGTCCTATCGTTGGTTTTGAACCCCCGTTCACAGTTCACGCAATAATACGAACGGTTGACAAAGGCAGGAAAGGACGTACAGCCATCAAAATGATCATTGGATTTCAGTAAACGAATCTGATGGGGGGCAGCAGGTCCTTTGAAAACCAGAAAGAACGGTTTCATCCGGGTCATCACCAAGAGCTGGTATTGAGATCCCAACGCCTGTTGAAATTGGCGAAGCTCTGGCAAGCCACAGGGACCCTCAGCCACCCCCGCTTCACGATGCAGTTCCTGGGCTTGACGTTGCTCCACTGGGTACCCTTTCTTTAAACTATCCCATTGGCGAAGTTCGTCCACGCCTTGATCTTTGTGGCAGTGCGCTCGCATGGTGACAATGGCGCGAGCACAGCATAAGGCATCTCTGTTTTTGATGGTGACGA